CGTCCTAGGACTGCACGTCGCTTCCTTCCCCGAGGAGGGCCATGGGAGGGAACCGCCACGGTGACCTCTGACAAACAGCATCCTTCCCCGGACACTTTCCCTAGGAGGCTGTTGCCATATAAACTTCAGAGGCCCGCCTTCTCCCGCAAATCTGGCTGGGATGGATGGAGGAGGAAATCACGGTCCCCCCAAAGGCGCTGCCAGTGGCCAAGCTGCCTGTGAAGTGTTTATGGGCCCATTCCAGGTGGTGGCCTCAGGTGTGTGGGCCTGCATCACCCGGGCTAGAGGCCACCCGAGGTGGCTGCAAGGGCACAGATGACTTGTGCGAGGCCCCTGCTTCCCTGACAACGCCTCCCTGGCCTGACACAGAAAACCCCAGCGTAAGGTCAGGAGGACGCGGAGCCCCAGGCTGGCAGAGGGAGGGGGCCTGGGCCTCTGACGTGGAGCGGGGCTCGCTGCCCAGCACACCTTTGCAGGGAGAAGGCTCTGAGCCTCCCCACACACGCTCCCTGGGGGCCCCGCTCCAGACCACCAGACAGCACAGACCCGGAGCCACTGTTCTGGCTTCTCTGAAGCCTTGAAACTATAGCAGCCCATTAACAAGGGAGCAATTTCCACTCACCGGCCTGCAAAGGACTCAGATTTCCAAACGCATGTGGTGCCAGATGCCAGGATTTAGAAATAAAACCTGACATCTGGGGCTTTTTAGCCAGTCTCTTTAAAAACAGTTGTAGAAAAGTCCCAGCCTCCAGTTTTATGTAGGTTTTTTAATTACTTAATGCTCTTCTTTTTAATTTTTTACAGTGCTGCAGTAGGAGCTTGGAAGCCAGATATAAAAACTTATATTACAGCTGAGAAAACACAGCTCCAAGTCCTTGGTTTATGGGGTAACCAGTCTTCACACATATGGTTTAGGCACCAAACCAAGGAGCCCCGCTTCCGTCCAGGAGAGAATGGATGGGAGGGGCCGGGGGCACGTGGGGGGCCATCAGAAAAACAAGCACAAAACACTCAGGCGGCTCTCAACCACTAAGCGCCATCCTGGCCTCCCCCCTCTTAAATGCAACATGTGGTCTTAATCTTAATGGTTAAGGTCTGAAACAGTTTTCCAATTTCCGGAATGGCTTCTGGCCACGGGCAGGCCACCGCTCCGAAAGATGATAGAGGATCGTGGGGCGGGGTCGTAACCGGCCTTCTGGGTGCTTTATGGGCCACCTGCCCCTGGGGCACACACGGTGGCTGGAGGTGGCCACCGGCAACGGCGCCCGCCACCTGAGGAGGAAGTACAGGCAGCCTCTCTATGTGGGGGTATCTGAGGAGGGGATTCTCAGGAGGCACCCAGATTCCATGGGAAATGGAAAGATGCCCATTCTGCTGGGTTTTTACAAATGCGGGAGATGTGCACTCGGGTGGGCCCCCTGGGAGAGGCCCTCAGAGTGGGATCCTTACAGCCCCGGGGGTGGAAGCAGCCAGAAAGCAGTCACTGGGCCACTGTCTCCGGGGCCCCGCCGGTCCAGGACAATGCCTCGGGGATGACCTTGTCACTCACCCACAGACCCCAGGCCAGAAGCCTGACACCCTGGAGCTGGCTGCAGCCAGCCCTGTTCTAAGCATGCCAATGAAGGAGGTGCCACTACAGCTCCATTTTGCAGATGAGGAAACTGAGACCCTTGCCTGTGGTGGCACAGCTAGCAGGTGGCAGGGAGGGTTTTAACCCAGGCAGTCTGATCTGAGTTCTGATATTACTAAGACAGCTTCAGATTTTGGAGTGAGACGTGGAAACTGCCCCAGTCAATTCCAGTTGGCACTACATCCCTTTGGGGTTGCCCTGCCCTGAGCGCTGGGCTTCGAGAACTTGGGCATCACCACAGAGTTTAGCCCAGTGCCTCTTGGCAACTGTGATCTGTGACCTCACATGCAAGTGGAGACTGTCCTGTGTCTACACCATCGGCCTCAGAGGTGGGCATGTGCGACCACGGGAGGCCCCGGGCAGAGAGCGGCTCCTCCTGGCTCCCGGGGAGGTGCCAGGGAGACAGAAAGGACAGCCTCCGAGCTGAACGCCTCTTTCCTCTACAAGGGCAGTGTGGGCCCCTCGTGCAGTCAGTGTGAGAAAAGACCAAGTCAGACCCCACAGAAGCGGCGAGCTGGCAGAAAGGACCAGAGTGAAGAGCGGGACAGGGCACCCCTGGGGGACCAGGGTCAGGGACCAGTACCTTCGCTGTGGCCAGTTCGTGGGCGAGCTCCTGCACCTTCTGCTGCTGTTGAATGAGCAGCTCCTGGACGGAGGCTAAGGTCACCTGTAGCTGAGTCACTGGGAGGGAAGAGCAGTGGTGTCTCTGTTAAATGACATAAATGGATTCTCCTTCTTCTAGTGACATGTTCACACACCTGAAGCTGCAGCTTCTGAATGAACTGCAGACACCCAGCCACATCATTTACCTGAGCTCTGGGCAATCCACCTGCACTGCATCTACCTGCAGTCTCTCTACTTCCTCTGTCCACTTTGTCGCTGTCCATGGTCAACATATATCCATCCAACCTCTCCCCTCTAATCACACCGGCTGCTGATCTGCCCGGCTCTCGGCTTCGGTAATGCCCACACCCCGGCCTCGGCGTGTCCTTGCGGCACCGCTGCAGTGTCCAGTCCCGGAGACGGACCTCAGGTTCCACACCCTCCAGGATGGTTGAAAACTGCCGACCCCCATGCCCTGCTGCTCCTCCCCCTCCCCACCCAACCCTGAGGTGCGGAGCTCCCAGTCCTGTGGCCTCGTCAGGGCCTGGGGCCACCGTGCGGCAGAATTTCTGAGGCCTGCCTGGGACAGCGGCTCCCGCCCTTGCCTGAGTTTTTAGATTCAGAGTCTGCACCTAGTAAACAAGTTTATCAAGGAGAAAAGCCACCTCTGGCGCGACAGGTCCCAGCTAATCTGGACCATCATCGGGGCACCGGGTGATGAACGCAAGCCCCGTGGAGTCGATGACAGAGGAGGTGGCTGGGGTCCCGGGAGCCGCAGTAATTACAGCCTCTCTTGACCCTGCGTCGGATTCTTAGAGGGAAGGGGGAAAATCGCTGAAAACCCCCCTGAAAACCTCATAGAAGCAGAAATTAAAAATGAACTTTACAGCCCTTAGAAAGGCTGTCATTTTATTCCCCTTATTAATATTCTGAGGTTGGGAGCCTTTCCGTAAAAACATAATTAATTGAGGCCGTGCCGACAGTAAACAAGCAATTTCAAATTAAACCGAAATGACGGCGGCTTCATTTGCAAATGTGAACAGATTCTCAGAGCAGATAAATGAAGTCACCACATAAAGTGGAGACGGAGGGGAGAGGGAGGGGCAGAGAAGGGGCTGCTCGGGGAGCTTTGAGGGGTGACTTGATGGAGTCATTAATCTTTACCTGTCTGTGCCACGCTGCCACTCAGCTCCGAGAGACTCGCCTCCATCCTCTCCAGTTGCTTCCTGTCCTCTCGTCCGCCCATGATGAGGGGGAGCAGGTATTTCTACAAGAGGCAGGGTGGGCAGGAGGGGTGCGTATTTGGGTTATTGTCCACCAATCTCTCAGTCTGCAGACCAGCCTGCGTCCCGTCACGCCCAGGTTGTGGGAACTCTCTAAGCAAACACCATCCATGAAGGAGGCATCCGAGAGCTACGAGACTGTGGCTCATTCCAACCAGGTAAAAATCCTGTCTGAATAAGGCCAAGGACCAGGGAACAGGGACGAGTAAATCCATTTGACTTATTCTTATGAAACACTTTTTTGGTTCTTTTATGTAGTTTTCTTAATGGTGTTATATAAACTCTCTCTGTAACAAAAATATGTAAACTGTACTGTAAAAGCTGTCAGATAACAATATAACATGTGACCTCCAGGAGTGGGGAGAAACCTCTCACACTTTTCTGAACCTCTAACAGTCCGAACCATGTGAGTGAACTGTCCATTCAGAAACTAACGAGTAAAAGTAAGTAAGTGAAAAATTACTTGAGGAACTAGATGAGAACCCACAGCAGGTTCTGGGGCCTTGGTGCTTTTACCAGGGATGAGACACGGATGTTCTGTGCGGCCGTCGGGAGAGCTCACTTTGGTCTTTCTCTAAACTGAGCCTTGAGTCCTCAGAACACACTTCCTTCAGCTCCGAGTCAGATGCATCGGATTCCCCCAGAACTGAGACCCAGGGGCAGAGGGAGAGGAAAGGGCAAAAACTGAAGAAAGTGCCCTGGGAAAAAGGGCAACCAAGCAGGGGCCCCCGAATGGGGAAACAGACTGGGGAGGATAAGGTTGTGGGACGTTCAGGAAGAAGGCAGGTGGGCAGCGGTGCCACTTGGGAGAGCTGATGAAAGGACATGCGCTCTGAAGTCCAAGAGCTCAGGACCTGGCGCCTCCCGGTGCAGAGCTGAGGCTGCCACCACCACTCAGAGCAGCCTGGTTAGCCGCTGGTGGGTGCGGGCTGGCGGGTGTGGGAACTGGCTGGCGGGACCAAGGAGAATGTTGGTTCTCACTCCACTTGGGCCCCCGATTGGACAACAACAGCAACCTGCCCATTAAGTGTCTGGCTGGGAGGCAGGGGCCTCTCACAGGCTGCGGGGACGCGCTCCGAGGGCGGCTCCCGAGTGGAGAGGTTATTTAGTGGCGCGCAGCACTCTATTCTGCAAAGTGCTTTCAACCACGGGAGTTATTGCCTGCAACCGAGCGAAACTCGCTCAGTGTAGCCGCAGCTCCAGGGTGAAGATTTCCTAATACAAAAGTCAAGAAGTTCTCATACGTGTAACAAACTACAAGTTCCATTTCTGAGATCAGAAATGCCAGGGGAAGGCACACATCCTAGTACACTAACCACCCCAGCCTAAACCTGTAGGTATTTATAAACTTCTCCTTGTTTAATTTAAAGAAACTATTAGCAGGTGTTGTAGAAACTCTCCTGTCACCACTGTGACTGGTTTTCCCACGTCTCTTTCCTTTTTTACGCAGACAACTGACCCTGCTGCCAGGGCCCAGATCCCAGCCTCCCAGGGCCAGGCGGTCGGTGCTGAGCGCAGCCTGGACGTCCAGGGAGGCTCTGCCTTCCAGGTGACTGCGCACAGTGATGGGAAAGCAGCTTCCCACGCAGGGGAAGGGGAGGCATCGGGTCCGAGGGGTGGGGGTGAGGGGGGTGTCACATGACTATCCCAGGACACAAAACAGTTTGCTTCCGCATTTCTGACTGGAAATTTCCAACTCCAAGAACAGATGCTACACCGAAAAAAAATGTATTCTGCTACAACTCTGTCATTAGCTACTAAGTCAAAAATTAAGAATCCCAGAGTGCAATGCTGAAGCATGGCTCACATGCTAAAAGTTACGTGGTGGGAGGAGCAGGTGGCCTGGAAAGGAAGGAACTTCTCTCCAGGACCAGGAGGGAGCAAGTCCTCCACCATGGTTTACCCTCTGTCTCTGGGGGCCCACCCTGGCTCTGCATCTTCTAGAAGAGACTCTGTGCCTGGTACCTGCTATCAAGTCGGGGAATGCTCACTCATGCCTGCAGCTCTGCTGTTAGCAATGACCTCTGGACCCTGAGGGCTGACTATGGAGTCTGGAGAAATCCTAGATTTACATGGATACCAACATAATATGTAGGAGACAAAGGGTAGATCCCATAATATGATACGCTGAGATGCTCAAAGCTGGTTTTAATACCAAGGTAGAAAAAATGGCATATAAAGCACTTCCTATGTGCCAGGCCACCGCACTCCCCAAAGCAGCACCTTTGAGCTTCACAACTGTGAGGTAGGGTCTATGTCCCCATTTTACAGATGAGACCCCTGAGCCTGTGGTCACACAGCTATCACATGGCAGAGCCGGGATGCAGCACAGGCAGCTGGGCTCACTGTCCAGCTCTCAACCACCTGTCACTGCCTCTCAAATGGAGGGCTGCTCCGCACACGCCGGGCACTGTTGTAAGCACAGTCCCCTGGGAGAGATGCCAAGGCTAGTGGATGAGGTGGGTCTGAACCTGCCAAGCATACCCGTCCGGGTGGAGCAGGACCTGCACTTGAACCTCCAGAGAGTGTGTTCGCTGGGACATGCTGCCTCTGCACACAGCCCTGCTCCTGCCACGGCACTGCAGGCTGAGTGCCGCCAGGCAGGAGAAGCTCGGGAGAGGGGAGAACGGGGCTGAACGCCAAGGGGCCCTGGAAGGGAGGACCTACCTTGTAGAGCTGGTGAAAGCCAAAGGCGATGCCCGCCATGATGACAGCCAAGGCACTGTAATCTCTCCATCGGGAACCCACAGGGCCTACGGTTGGGAGAGAAGGCGTGTCAGGAGAAGGGGCACATGCGTCCTTCCCCGGGGCCGGGGAGAGCTAAGTGCTCAGTGTCTTCATCTCGAAGGACCGGCAACTCCGCTGCGGGAGACAGTGTGATGTCAGGGACACGGGCCGGCTGCGGCTCCCTCCCCTTTCCAGGCCTCAGAACCACCTGCTCAGGGTGCACCTGCTGCGTGGTGCCTACAGTGAGCTACGCCCCGGCCGGGGAGTCAGGTGCAGAGGCGAACTGAAGACCGAGGGCATGGCGTCCACTCGCAAGGCAGGAAGGGTCCCGCGAGGCTGCCATAAACACTGAGATGTGCCTAAGTGCACATCCACATGCCCTGCTACAGACAGGGCTGAGCTAAGAGCACTTCAGAGCGAGGCGGGTGGACGGGGTAGACTGTGTGCCTGCAGTGTGGAGGCACGGGCCGGGGCGGTGGTGATGAGGTCTCTGGCCAGTCTTGCCCTGCTCTCCCACTATTCGGCGAAGAGGAAGCACCTACAGATGATGGAACGAGCTCACTCCAGAGATGCAGAGGCCAGACAGGGAGATGGGAGAGTGGGGATGGCAGGGAGGCGTCGGGGTCCTCGCAGGTTCTGGAGGCCTACGCTGAGACCTTCAGGTTCCAGGGGAAAACGGGGTCCAGGCAGGGCACGAGCAACTGCAAAGGTAGCTGACCTATGCTCAAAGGACAAAAGGTGGCCAGTGCGGATGGGGAGCGTCTGGGCCTGACCAAGGGGGGAGGGCTATCCTGGCAGAGAGAGCCCAAGAACAGAGGGACCAGGAAGCCTGGGAGCATCAGAGGGCGGCTGGTGGGAGGAGTGGGAAAGGATGTGGGCACACGGGGAGAAGGGGCTGCTGACATGCAGCCGTCTGGGGGGGTCCAAGTGGCAAAGATGCCCCGGGGTGGGGGCGAGGGAGATGCTCCCTCCTCCCTGAGTCTCTCTTTGACCGCCACACCCCCCTCGGTGTTTCCCCCTCCGTCCGCCCGCCTGGCCTATGGATTCCAGTGTGGCCCAGCCCCGGAGTCTCCTGCACAAAATGTCATCGACAGGTGGCCTCCCCACAGCTGGACTCCCTCTTTGGTTTTAGTTTTCGAACAGGTAGCACACGCGTATGGTCTAAGCGTGAGGCAGCAGTCAGTCTACTCAACAGGCTCCCCCACCAGCCACTGCCGATCGCGTCCTGTTCATCTGGCCGGAGAATTTTTATGCACATGTAAGGCAACACAGACATGTATTCTTTCCCTTCTCTCTTTCCCTATTTCTCATCCTCTTTCTTTTCTACGGCTGCTCAATACTCTATCTAATCAGTTCTCTTCCGATGGACGCTTAGGCGATTCCAGTCCTTCACGACTTCCCGCCATGCTGCCTGCCACCGGCAACCGTGTTCACACCTCACCACGCATGCGTGTACAAGCACATCTGTAGCCGTGGACATCCGGGAGGCTGCGGCAGAGGTACATGCACCTGCAACTCTGCGGGACACCCAGCCCCATCCACGCGCCTGCTCCCTCATGGCTACTTGACAGTGGGCTCAGCACACTTGGAGATTTCGGCCAGTAGAGGAGCGGGAAAGCCATACTTCCGTTTTCACCGGCATTACCCTGTTAGGACCGAGGACAGAGTGTCCTTTCATTGGCATTTCCCTGTCAGTGTACTCTACCCGTTCCATGCTTTTCTACTCCATTTCTTTTCATTTATTTATTTATATTTTTTTATTGATTTCCGAGAGGGAGAGAGAGAGAGAAACATCAATGATGAGAGAATCATTGACCAGCTGCCTCCTGCACGTCCCCCACCAGGGATCGAGCGCCCGCAACCCAAGCATATGCCCTGACCGGAATTGAACCGTGACTTCCTGGTTCACAGGTCAGCACTCAACCACTGAGCCACACCGGCTGGGCTCTACTCCTCTACTCCATTTCTCTATCAATTCACAGAAACGTTTTATACAGCCGGGAATGAGCCCTGCCTATGACAGGAGTTGCAACCACCTTTTTGTTTTTCTTTTGACTGTGCTCCTGGTGTTTGTGGCAGCAGGTGTTTTTCATATTTATATGAACCCACCACTCTAGCCTTCTATGGTGCTGGGGTCTGGATCACAGAGCCAGGACTTCCACTCCCTTCCCAGGCTGTGCGGTGACACTCGGTGCTCATGGCTCTTAGCCGTCTCGGCTCTCACCTATAGTGACATCCCATCCAACAAGAAGCTACGGAGAGAAGTAACACCCGCTGGTGCAATCGAGCCCGGAGGCTTTCTGTCCCAGGCCTGCTGCCCTTTGGTCTCGTTCCTGACCTCCTCTGCTCGGACTGCCTCGTTGCAAAATCCCACATCTAGGGCAAGTCCATTTTTAGAAGGAAAAAGTGAAGATATTGAGCAGCCTTTCCACTCCTCAGGAGAGTCCCAGACATCTGTCTGTGCAGCCAAAGTCCCCAGAGAAAGCATCTTCAAAACGGCCTCTGGCCTTGGCCATGGGCTCGTGGGTTGGAGCGTCGTTCTGTGCGCCACAAGGTGGCAGGTTCAACTCCAGGTCAGAGCACACGCCCACATTATGAGTTTGACCCATGCTCAGGGCACCTGCGGGAGACAACCCATTGATGTTTCTCTCTCACATCGATGGTTCTCTCTCTCTCCCTCCCCCCCCCCCCTTCTTCCTTCCTCTCCCTCCCACCCGGGACCGGAGGTAACAAGGCGGAAAAGAGGCCGCAGCTCAGGGTCCGAGAACCGGGACCTCTCCTTCCTACAGCTGCTCCCACCCTTCCAGAGCTCTGACCTCCTCGCGCACCACATACACCTGTGGCTCCCTGCCAGCCACACCCTCACCCCGCACGGCGCCTCGTTCCTGCCATGCTCGCGTTAAGAACATTTTATTGCCCCCTGGTTTTCATTATTAATGAAAAGGGACCAGAATGATCTTTCCTAAAGTTCAGAGAGTCTATAAAGACAAGAAGCTGAAATGCCACTTTACTCGTTCTGGAGACGGGTGATACAATTCTGTCTTGTGGCAAAATGAAAGCAAAGGAAAGCGAAGTCGGAGATCACCCTCATCCCCGCGTGCCTTTCCAAAGGGCTGCAGAGAAGGCAGCGGTGTGACCCACCCGGCCAACCCGCTGCGACCCCCTGGAGTCCTCCCCACGCCCACCGGGGCCAACGCTGTCCGGCCGGTGCAGGCTCCATGAAGGAGTGAGAGCAGGGCGCCTGGGAGGGTTTGGGGCTACAAGAGCCTCTCTGTCACCATGCTCCCCGAATGTCCAGAATCGTAGTCAAGGTGGAAACGGGGCCACGCTTCAGCTCTAGCCTGAAAATGAGGGACATGAACTGAGCTGTTTGGAAGCTCCGAGCCCCCAGTCTGGGAGCAGATGCCTCTAAACAATGGGGCCAGGAGCACGAGGTCGGGCCCTGGCTCCACCACCAACCAGATGACTCCCAAAGACACGCTTCTCCTCCCATGAAGCACAGACAGCTGACGGAGGCAGGCTCAGCTGGATTTAAAGAGCCCGGAGCAATGCCACGTTTACTGTCACCAATTCAAACGCTCCAGAGCACTTCTCCACAAGCAGGACTAGCGGACGAGCCGAGTGGCACGGCGCTTCGCCAACACACCACATCACCGGTGTCCTGGGAAGGACGGTGAGACAGGCCATGGTGGCAGCAACCTCATCCCACACAACTGGCACTTGGGGGGCTTTCCTGTGCCTTAGGCAGCCACGAGGTCAGGGGACAAGTTGTCGCAGGGAGAGGGGGATGGGGCTCTTCGAAACTCAGCACCTTCCCTAGCATTCCACGGATTCCACCCATTAGCCTGAGACCCGCAGTCCCGGAGTTTCGGGGGAATCCACGGTGTACGGCAGCCGAGTCAGGGGAACGAAAGCTGCCCATGGCTCCGTAACCTCACTGAACACCTGCAAAACCAGCACCACTCAATTCCTCCCGCTACGTCCCCCAGGAAACTCGCCTGGCAGGTGAGAGCAAGCACCGCCACGTACGAACACGTGCGTGGGGCTGAGAAGCTTGAAACCACGGTCAGGGACTCACTGACACCGCAAACCAGTCAAGATTCATCGATACGGGGCTGAAACTGCCACAGGTTCATCCTGCTGAGGCCTCGGCATCAGCGTGACAGCTGACAACGGGGGAGGGCAAGACAGCGGCAGAAGCCGGCCAGCCCAGCTGGTCCCGCCACACTCATCGAGGCTGGAGCCACAACTCCTGGTGGCGGTGCAGCCAGCTTCTCAGATCACCCTCAGCTCTGCTCACAAGCCGCCCTGCACATTCACTGATAAAGCCTCGTCCACAGTGAGGCCCCAGGCTAAGGCCCGTCCACCAGGCCAGCGCTCCTCGCAGCGGCTGCTGGGCTGAATGCACAGAGCGACGGGGACCAGCTGCATGGTCCTGCGGGCTGAGCTGGGGACGCTGGCAGCGGTCAGATACACCCCGACCCAGCGCAGCAACTAGCAACTACAGCTCTGTCCTGAGCAGAAGCACCTGGGCGGCTGGTGGGGCAGAGGCACCGCATCGGCCCACGGCAGTCGCGTCTGCACACCCAAGGCCTCTTCACACGAACATCCTGTGAAAGGCAATCTTCCCCTTCCCAGGAGCTGCAGTGCTATCAGCAGAGTCATCTGCAGGCAGGAAGGACACTGAGGCATATCTATATCCTCACTCATAGATTAAAAATATGAGCCCTAATTAAACTGTATGAACTCAGAAGAGTCCAGAAATAGACCCGTGCTTATATGGTCAACTGTTTTTTTACAAAGAGATCAAGGTTTGTGCTGAGACGTTTGGAAATCAATAGAGGGAAAATGGACCTCAACCCTCACCTTACACCATTCACAAAAATTACTCCAAATGGATCACACATCTAGACAAAAAAGCAAGAACTATAAAGCTTCTGTAAGGAAACAGAAAAAGATCTTTGCAACCTCAGGGCAGGCAAAGAATCTTAAGATACAAAAAGTATAAATCATAAAAGGAAAAAAA